CGCCCGCTGAACGGTTACTCGCTGTGTCCTGAAATTGAAGTCACCCATCCATAGTACGTGATGAAACGCTTCCGCCCAACTCGACGCCCCTCCATAAAACTCTAGCAACCGCTGTTCCACAACAGCCCTAGCCTTACGGCGGTCCTGTTACACACAGAGCGCACACGCATACATACGCAGATATGACTGAAGAGCACAAATTGCACCATGTCCGTCTGTGTTGCTTTGGAAGTCCAACAGGATGGTCACTTCTGCCACTGGTGCCGACGTGTTGACGTCATCAAGGAGAAACTTTGCATGTATTCTGGGACTTCCCTGCTGTTCAAATCATTTTATGGATGCGCGGATCCTAAAAATGATTTTGACCGCAGAAAAGTATCAAAATACATGCACAAAGATTCCGTCTCGTGACGAGATACAAAGCTTAACAGCTAAGCAGGGCAGGACAAACCTCAGGGGATGTTGATGGCATATGACAGCCAATAAAACAAAATAATTGACCCCAAATCTTGAGACAGACGCTGACGCCCCCTTTACTCCCAGACAAGAAGCCTGAAATAAAAACAAACTGACCAACTTTTGCTCACGGTAGCCCCTAAACTGGTTGAGCTAGACGCAGTAACAGCAAGTGGAAGACTAGCAGCCCCTACTGAGAAGGCTGAACCCGTAATATACATGCGTATGCATATAGATATATTTTCTACATGAAAAAAGTAAAGTTTAGCGAGTGAAAAATGCGAGTCGAATTGCGACCATCTCCCGCCGCATATCTGCTACTCTTTTCCAGAGTGATTACATGCCCACTCACTCACGGACGCTGCCTTTGAGCTCACAAAGCTAACGGGCTTTCCTTCCCCCTCTAGATCTTCTCGCGCCCATGCCGCCAAGCCTGCAACACAACACCAGTGCCTCTCACCCCACCGCACATCTACCGCTAACTACCTGTGCTACCTGTTCCGGAAAGCGATCACAGATATCAGCGTCTGGCAGGTGCTGCGCTTGTGTATACAGCAGACGCATAACAACGCAAGGACGAATGACGTCTTCCACTCAGGTCAGATGAGACACCCACTGGTGCTCTTGAACTGCATCCACGCGCCGTCGCCCAATCCGGAAAGTTTATCCTCCGAAAACTTTATCCGCTTGAAGGATGTTCCATTTACAGTTGAGAGGTAAACAGTGACGGTTTCAAAGATACTCTGACCTGTAGAGCAGTCAAGTTAAGCCCAACAAATTTCCAAGGGGAGATTAACACTGCGTTGCCGCTAAACTTCAGCAACACTCATAGAAGCAAAGACCTCTCCCGATGTCGTCAACTAAAACGGTCGGTCAAAAGGCGCGGTAGGCCGACTCCCCTGATTGCTCTCCTTTGTACATTTTAAATCACACGCTGTTCCAGTATGCCACTGTTGCATGAAGCATTTGACCCTTCTTTTACTCCACACATTTAACGTAATTTTCATGGACAGGCAAACGCACCTAAAGTTTCTTGAAGCGAGACAACATACACATCGTAGCCCGGCAACAGCCAGTCCACCAACGGCTGGTCCTCCCCTTGCACGGCGGTGAGAAGCTTTGTGCTGGATCTCACAAGATCCCCTCTTTTGATGGTGCTCTTCCGAGCTAGAGACGGAGGATTGATGTGAACTTGAGGCGGCCCTGCAGAGTCGTTTGTTGGCTGTTGCGACCCATGTTTCTCCATCCCCTCCCAGTCGTACAATTTATCGAATTCGCCGCCCATTTTTGCAATCACTTCCGCGGGAAGCTCATCTGGCAAGCACTCCGTGGCGCAATAATTTGGGGATCCAGAAAGGGTGCAAGCTGAATAATTGGAGCAATCAGGCAGCCGCGGAACCCGGACTGCTGTTTGACTATTCGTAAGCACGCTGACTGGGAAATCCTGGTACTGACAATTCCTGCAAACGCACCTCACAGGTTTCGTGTTGGGCACATGCCTATTCGAGCGTGTGAGCACGAACTGCGAGTACATGTCTGTGAGTCTGCGAACTGTTTGTGAAGGTTAACGAGAAAGGTCTGATTGATGCCAGATGTTTTGCTCCCTGCATGTAGCCTACCAGGTGCCGCAGAAGATTTTGAGTGGCTGAGCTCCCTGCAATGAAACATCGACATTTCTGGGGACAGCCGTAAGGCGCTTGCCAGGTGAGGCGCTGTTAAGCTGTCGCTGCGTCTTCAAGTGGAGACTCGAAGGCAGAAGCGGACCTCCAGTTGGGTAAAGTGGTCCGACTCGTGGCTTGTGGGCTGCAGCGCCAGCGGCGATGCCACCACGGCTGCTGCTGCTGCTGAAGTGCCACTGGTGGGCCTCCCGCGAAGAGTCGCTCGGCTTAGCCGCTCGCAGGCTGCCGTTTGGAGACAGCAGATGCCGGCTTGAAGGGGAAGCAGCAGCAGACTGCGCCTGATGCAGAGTAGGGGTACCCTCGTGAGGAGGCTTACATGGGGTGGAGGGCTGTGCCCGCAGCTCTACTGGCTTCTCTGACACTGGGGCACTTTTCGGCTCCTGCACTCTGCTCTCTAACAGCTGAATGGAAGCAGCCGCCTGTATGGTCGACGGAAAGAACAGGGTGTTGCAGCAAGAGAGGGGCGATCGTGGTGATGAGGGGGGAGCCTGGAAGTGAGCACCAGGGCGGGCCCTCCTGGAGCGTGAGGCGTGAACTCTGCTGTCCTGTGTTGTATGGACAGTCATGCCATGCAGGCTTGCTGATGCCTCGGGAGATGTGAGACCCTGTGGATGCTCATTCGTGCCCTCTGATGTCATACTTTCCTTCGAGCTGCTGGGCAGGGGCTCCTGGCTGCCGCAAGGCTCCATCTCTGTAAGCAGCCCCGACGGGGAAGCAAGATTCTTGCTGTCTCCTAAAATGTGGATCTAGCCCTCAATCTGCTGTGTCAGTGGAGAGAGATGCAGTGGAACGACAACACAAACTTGCTGCGAACATGACCTCCTCGGACAAGGAGGCGCAGCTACACAGGGGGACACTCAAGCATCAACACCGACGCTCACTGGAAGATTTTCCTATGGGTTGCAATCCGCATACAAGTCCACGTAGCTGTGAGTACGGATATCTTGATCAAAACGCACGCCCAAAGCTCATTGCGCGGGAAGCAGCTGGAGTGTTGCTCACTGGGGGGAGAAGCGGTGCAAACGAGTAACCATCCATGCTCAGAAATTCATGAGCACAGCCAGACAAAAAGCTCTAGTGTGCCCGCAGCAGGAGCCCAGTTAGACGAATGCATGGCCGCAAAAAGAGACCACCATCCAAATCGGACGATTGGAAAGAGGAGAGAGAGTGCTGGCACAGATAGAAGACCATGCTTGCTCTCTGGCTACAATGACTAGAGATTAATTGATGTAGAATGCTGCTGAGGACGAATGCGCTCAGTAGAAGCGCTAGTGAACTTGAGTAGCGCATAGAGTTGTCCTGAGCTGTATTACCTTGCGCATGGGACAAACTTTAGGTAAGCTGCCTGCAGATCCTCCACGGAATGCAAATCCAAGCCCCATAAAACCACTCCTCCGAAATGTCGCGAAAAAATGTACTTTTAACCCCGGGCTTGTAGACACCACGCTCCCGCGCCAAGTGGAACTCCGTGGTAAGGAGCGGATTTTAGCGGCCACAGCGAAAGCTGCTTCGGGGTAGTTTCTCAAAAGAAATCTGCAAAAGTAAATTGTAAAGCAGAAGTAAACAGAGTCAGGCTGGAGTACGAAAAGCTGCCGGTCAGCTGATGGACATGCATGTCGGTTTCATCGGTGCCACTTTTTCCTTGAAGGGCCCCGAAGGAGGAATTTACTCATACATTTGACATTCATACATATTTCGCACATCAGTGCCAAGTTTATGTTGAAAAAACGGAGCAAACACCCCAATCAATGTATTCCATAGTGCTTCCAATGTGCGTGGCGTTGACCAGTCAGCTTGCCTTGGCAGGTCATTCACCTCTTAATAAGCCTTTCAGAAGCTAAGTTACATCAATACTGCATTTTAAATAAGGAATTAAATTCTCCTGAGAGTTTGTGGATCTGCGACAAGATGGGGGATTGGCGCATTATGTCAACGACCCCCATCGCTCGACTTCCACAGCAGCAGAACACGGAGCATTAAGGCAGTTGCACATTGGCTACTCAAGTTTTGCTGATGTAGAGAACGGTGCCTCCGCGACGGCATTACCTTGTGCACGCTCAAACATATTTTTTGTGGGTTGTTCGGATGAACCGCACAAAGTGGCCCACTTCAACGATTCATGGGGGGAATGCAAACACTGTGGCATCCTACAGAGCCCAAATAGTTAATTGTCGTCGAGCACTGGAGCTCTCTCTCTCGTATCTGAGTATCGAAAAAGCATATGAACTGCAACGTTGAAAAACCGTGGTGCCACGACGCACCCCGACAGCTCTACCCATGCCGGCTCTCAACGACTTGCACTTCATGGTTAGTAATGAGATACTGCTACGAGTTTTATCTTTCTAACTACAGTAAATACGTACTCCTGGAATATACAGCTGGCGGACCGCGCAGTGTCTCCACGCTGAAAACCATGACTGGCCATGCCAAAACTTTCTTCGTTCCGTGGCCTCTCTTATGTAGAAGTCCGCCTTTAAACTCAAAAAGCTTTTCTTTGCATCATTCCTTTCTTATCCTTTTTTCTTGCCGCCAGAGGAAGGCAGAGAACGGTGGTGATAAAAGTGTGACACTGCTCGAACCAACTGAACATGAGGGTAGATACAAATATGGGCGCACAGTCATAAGGCGGTTCGCGGCATGCGTTGCATAGATATTAGGTGCCCGTGCTTCTTGCGAACAGTACTATCTTAGTTACGTTTTACATTTGTTGTTTCCCCGTGGTGACGTGAAAATAGCTTGTCTAGCTATACGTGCCCTTGCTTAAACTGAGAGAATCACTTGGAGAAGGATTCAAGAGTTGAGGCCCGAACGGGATTCCCTAATTATATTCTTGCGGTAAAGCGAACGACATTAGGGCGTCTTTCGTCAGTTAAGGAGCCCTTGCTGTCTTAAAAGCTGCCTGAGTTGCTGCACCTTCTGCCGTGCCCCAGAAACCTCCTCCTCGTTTTCAGCGTCTCTTTTCTCCGGTGGCTTGCAGAGGGCAGAAGGGAATGCAGGTGCACTGCTGATATCATCACTAACGACAGTGCTCGCGGTTGTAGAGGTTGTGGGGCTGCGGTTTAGCTCAGACCGCTTCAGCAGTGCCCGACACTCCAGCCCGGACGGAACTGAAGGAAGCGGCAGTGAGACAGAGACGGAATCTGTGGTGCCGAATGGGCTCGCGTAGGCAGGAGAAGAAGGTATAGAAAGTATTGATATCTGCTGCTGCTTTTCCCGCTGTTTTTGCTGCAGCAGATGTTGTAACCGGTGTTCCAGTGGGGTTTGCTGTTCATGCGAAGTAAGTAACGGCCTATCACGGCTCTCAGTGGAATGCTCCAGGTTCTCTTTTATCAACTCACCAACAGGCGCTGCCGCCTGACCCTCATTTGTGCATTGCGAGATTCCCCTACCGCATACACTGCCCGCAGATAGGCCGTTGTTAGGGTCCGAACTGAGGGTGCGTTGCAGCTTCTCAAGATGCACGTAGACCTTCCCTTGCAGACTATCTTGCAGTTGCTGTATCAGTTGCTGCTGTGCTTGCTGCTGCTCTTGAGCCCCAAATGTCTTCGGCTCTACTGCATCCACGGACACTGCCTCCTCTAGGGCTGCTGATGCATTGTCCCGATTATAGCATGCAGACTGGGTTTCTTGCATCTCCACGTGTACCGTATCTTCTCGAGTGGCTGAAACTGATTTGGCTCCTTTCTGAGTTGCTAATATTACTGCTGCTGGTGTCCCTGGCCTGTCAAATATTGCTCTGCGCTGCCCCTCGTCCTGCGCTTCCCGTGGAGTTGGTTCGGTCCGTTGCTTGTTTTCTTCCTCCTCGATGGCCTCCGACAGAAGTTTGAGCCAGTCTTCTCTGCGTGCACTGCAGCTTGGGTCGGCTTCTGGCTCGTGTTCAATGATGTCGACCCTTGCCGCTGTCCCTTCTTGCACCTCTCGGCCCCCCCGCTGCTGATGCTGTCTCTCAGCGGCAGCACGCGCTGCCGCCTGCACGTCGGCCGATGTAAAGGTCTGGGTGAGTACAGGCGCTATTGGTAAGCTTGTTGCTGGGGCTCCGACGAACACAGGCGGAGCCTGCAGTACAAATGGCGGGCGCTGAGAAGCCCCTGATGCCACGGATTGTAGCGAAGCTGCCTGGTGCTGCTGTTGGAACAGCTGCTGCTGCTGTTGCTGCATGTGGAGCAGCAGCTGATGCTGGTACCTCTCCAGTTCAGCAATACGCTGCTGAAGCTTCAATACCAGCTGTTGATAATACGTTTTTTCCTGGCATAAAGTCTTCGCCTGGGTAGCCAAAGCCGACTTGAGCCGAGCTATAAGCTGCTGTTGCTGTGCTGCCTGCCTCAGCAGCTGCTGGTGTTCCTCAGCAGCAGCGTTGGTGTGACTGCCGTACGGCATTGGAGGGCCCGCCTGTATGCCCATCTCACTTGTCTGCAAATAAAATTGAACCCCACAGGTAACCACAATAGCACGACCATGACCCAAAGAGCTGTTTCCCTTCTTGATATTTAGCTTCACACGATTACATTACCCAAGCTTCAGGATGTGTTCAAACTCAAAGCCAGCTACCGAGGTAGCCTCATACGCATTCAAAGTTTGCCTCTACACTGTAAGCATGCTCCATTAGTGGCTGGCTTCCGACGTAATCGATGCGCCCCATGCTGCTATCATTGCGTTGCTGCTCATGCGGCTGGGGCTACTCTTAGTGTCCAGGTTATTGCTGGATGCTTTGTGCCGCTTTGCATCACCTCCTTTTTGACTGTTTCCGGTGAATCTTGGCAAATAGAGGCTTTGCAAGGCTGGTCTTCTTGTTTTGCGGTGCTAACCGTCTCCTGCGCTGTTTGCAGCGCCCTTGTGTTCTGTTCTCGATCCAAGGCCTCCAGAATCGCAGCAGACTGGGAAGCTTCAAAAGCCCTCTGCAGCTGTTCTTCCTTTTGTTGCCGTTGCAGTTCCTGTAGCTCCTTGACGTGGTACTCCAGAGAGGCCGATTTCTCTTTATGATCCTGTAGGCACTGCTTTAGCAGCTGCATCACTTCAAGTGTTTCTCTTAGTTGTTCTTCCGCCTCCAAGCGAGCTTGCTGCTCAGCAGCAAGAGCCTTTCTCAAACCCTGGGGAATCGCAATAAGCAGCCATGCAACAACAACGGAAAATGAGGACCTTAGCTTTGAGTTGTTCTGCACTGTAGATCCTGAGCCTTAAACCTCCTGGTTACAAATACAAGGCTCCCTACTCCGTTGGCCGTTGGCCGTCGCTACAACCACTGATAGTTGAAAATGTTTAGCCTTACAGTGTTTGCTTCCTCGCGGAGCTTATCTCTGGATTTCTCATGTTCTGCCTGAGCTGCGGAGGCCTGCTGCTGCGCTGCACTCAGAGTTTGTAGCCTCTGCCTCAGGTCGTTGTTTTCTTGTTGCAGTCTCGCCTCACTTTGCTGTAGCTCTAGAAGCCGCTGTTCACCTGCTTGCTGAGTAGCGCGGTTGTCGGTTACGCGCTGCCGTAGCTGCTGCAATTGCCACTGCATCTGCTCGAGCTCTCTGTTTTGCTGTAGCACATGTTCGAGAGCTGCTGTCTGTTCGCTGCGGGGCGATACTGCAGCATCCTTCACTGAAACTCCCCGCTTCGTTCCTAGCGCATGCAACCGGAGGAGGTTGAAGGCCAACTGTTGAGCTCCAAACCCTGTTTGCTTCTGCTGCTGCAACAAATTCAAGTTCTCATCCGCGAGATTCTTCAGCTCCGTGTGCAGCCTCTGAAAGCACGGAAGAGAAAACAACACACAGTCGTGGCAACGTTGGCTGTGGCAAGGTCGGAACACTTATGGATAATCGCTGCTTCCGGAAGTCGTGGGTCTGTCAACAGACTGCTCACGTCAATGTGCTGCTCGGTCTCTTCATGGAGAGTGTGCTGCACGTCTCTGAAATGGCGCAGCTTCCGCAGCTCCTTAGCCTGTTTTCTCAGTTGTTCTTTGAGCCTAAATAGAGCAAACAGAGATGCAGAAACAACAGCAGCGAAGGTAGCCCTGCTGCGTAGGAAGAGACCGCATGCCGGCAAAGGAAAACGTTGAGGCCGCCAGCACGGCTGACACATCCCCGGATGAAGGAGAGGAACTCACTCCTCGTTTTTAAGTGCTTCGTCTGCAAATCGAACGCGGCTTGCACGGCGGCTCGTTGAGGCCGAGCCATCTTGTGGGCTCACTATTTGAGCTTTTTGCTGCTGCTCTTGCTGCTGCAGAACGAGCTGCTGCAGCTTCAGAATAGGCTGTTCCGGTTGTAGCGGGAGAATCTGTTGCGTTTCTTGCAGCTGCGGTAGCGTCTGTAGATTTGCTTGCTGTTGTACCATCTTCAGCCTCAGCTGTTGCTGCAACTTGTGCTGCAGCGTTTGCTGGCTCGAGTCCCCGACACTGCCCTCTTTTCCACTGCATTTCTTCCCGTCTAACCGGGCCTGAGGATACAATCCATTCTCCTCAAGAGTCCTCACTGTTTCTAATGCCTTTGATGTTTCAGCCGACGAGACGGCCCGTATAGCTGCTAGTTGTGGTGCTGCTGCAATGGGTGACGGTGATGGATGATGCTTCTTGCTGCCTCTCGCTGGAGGCGGAATCGGCAAAGCCCGTCGTTGAGCCACGTAGGCGCTGCCGCAACTCAGGCGAATTTTAGCTTTGTCATAACTTATCAGGGCTTCTGGGTTTACAGCTGAAGAAATGATCCTTTGAGCCGCAGCTGCTGCTATATTTTCCTCGTGAAGTCCCTGCAGCTCGTAGATGTCGTTCTGATCTTGGGGAATACGAGGGGAATCTTCTGGTGGAGACAGTTCAGCCGCAGCCCTTTCCTTTTCTGCTGCAGCTGCCGCCGCTACAGCGTGTGCTTTAAGTGCTGCAGTTGCTGCTGCTGCTGCACGCGTAGCCTCCAGTGCGGCAGCTTCAGCTGTAGTGGCTGCTGCTGCTGCTGCCTTCGCAGCAGCGGCTGCCTCTGCTGCTGCCTTTGCTTCCACAGCAGAAGCTGCCGTTGCATCTGCAGAACTGTCGTCAACTTTCTTTCTCTCCGTGTCAGTTGGTTCAGCAAGAGCCTGTGGTTGCTCTTCCCTTTCTGCCAAGGCTGGCAAGAAATCGCCTGTATTTTCAACCGCTGCGAGGTCCAACGAGGGTGAGTCTTCCGTATCCCTGCAGCGCTCACAAACACCACTTGATCCTGCTGCTTCTGAGTCTGCATCCTTGCTGGAAGATACTGCTACTTTTGGCTCAGCATCGGCGTCATTCTTGTCGGAAGCGGATGCTGCCGTCCCTGTTTCCAGCTTGGCTGATGGAGGAGAGTCTAGGCACTCTTGCGCATTTTTCGCCTCTGCTGTGGATTCTTCGCATTCCAAAGAAGATGAATTGCCGATGATCTCTTTGTCTTGTGTTGCTCCTACCACCGGAGCTGCCTCTGGCTGCATTTGGGAGCCCTCCCCTGTGGCATTTTGTGCATTTTGTGCAGCCGACGGGGCCTCTTGTGATGGTTGAGGTGCCCACTGCCGGTAATCTGGCGGAACGTTGCTGCTAAATGAATCGGCGCTGCTGCCGAAGCTGTTGAATGGCATTTTCTGTCTTTCAGCTGCCATTTCTGTGGCCTCCATAAGCAGCAGCTGGTGGAGCCTGGCCCTGTGCGTTAGTAGGCCGTAGACCAGGTCTGTGTCTTCCCGCGGCAACTGTCTTTCGCCAACGCAGCTATCAGATGCTGGTAGTAATTCTCCCTTCTCGAAGTGGGGAAATAGGTTCGCTCCCCAACTCGAAATGCCTCTCTCTACCTGCTTCTTCTGTTGTACTTGCGCGGTGTCGAACTTTAGTGGTTGCAGCATCCTCACAGACAATGCGCGCAGTGCTTCCAAAGTGAGCTGGTCACTGCCGACCTCTGTCTGGCTTTCCCTTTCCGGGCTCGCTGCCACTTTGCCTTGGGAGGAACAGGGCTGTGGCTGCTGAAGTGGCTCTTCTTTCTTTTGTCCATCCGTTGGCGGCGTTTTCTCCTTGGTTTCCTCTTCTGCTATCCCAGCTGCAACCTCATCTGCCTCGCCGTTTTGTCTCTCCTCCTCAACGCAACACTGTGTTGCTTTGTTCATGACTGATAACGCCTCCTGTGTTTCTGGATTTGCACCAAGTGTCCCTTCATCTTCCGTAAAGTTGGAAGCTAGAATGCCCTCCTCTTCCTCTTCAGCTGTGTCTGCTGCTGCTGCTTCCTCTGCTGCTTCTGCTTCTCCTTCTATTTCATCGTCGTCTGCTGCTGCTGCATGTGCTGCAGCGTCTTCATCATCTGCTTCTGTAGCTTCGGTTGCTTCAGGTTCCTGTGGCTCTTCCATTACTTCTTCATTTTGTTCAGTGACCTGTAAACTCTCCCCCTCCGTCATAGCCCATTCGCTTTCCTCATACCCGCATGCAGCATCTTCTTCTGCTGCGCAGTCATCTTCACTTTGGGGCGAAGTTCCCAATGGCTCCTCCAATTCTTCTATCTCTTCTCCATGTACTTCTTCAATGGGCGACAAGACCTGCTGCTCCCTGGTGGCCTCGGAGTCGGATGCACCAAACGATTCTTCCAAAGCCTCTCTGTTCTCCTCTTCAGTCTCTTGGGCCTGCGCTCCCTCTTCCACTGCCGTTAACTGTTCTGTTTGGGCAGCGTCTGCTCCTGTGGGATCCTCCGAGGCTTCTGCAGTCCCTGTTACCACTTCAGCTTTCACATCTGCTGCCTCTTCAGCTTCCTCTTTTGTCTCTGGTTCAACAGAGACCGCCATGCCTGCTTCTGCGTGTCCATGATGTTCCTCCTCAACTTCCCCGTCTGGAAGTTGAAGCTTTGCCTTGGCCGCAGACTTGCGTCTGGCGGAAAGAAAGGCCTCCTTCTGAAACTCCAAGAGGTCTTGGGTTAAGGCCTCCCTCAGGCCTTCATCTAGTTGCTCTCGCAGATCCCGTAGACGCGGCTGCGCAGTTTCAAGTTCTTCGTTTACTTCGGAAATAAGTGGAAATCGGTTTGCAATTTCTATCAAGCGCTGACGCCGAGGAACTGACTGGTCCACGGGTAACTCCGAGCTGTAGGCCGGCGGACCACTGTCTGCAAGCCAGCTAGCTTCTTGTCTGGAGACGCCTTCACATTTCCGCTGCTGCTTATGCAACTTGTAGTGTTGATGGTACCGCCTGCTAACGCTGCTGGTGATGCTGGCGTCCCAGAGTGAGGGAGAGTTGACGTCCGTGGCGGCCGTTGAGGCCGAGGCGGGGAAGGGGTTGGTAGCGTCAGTCCACGGCTGGGAGTAAGCTCCAGTTTCATCATGTTCTTCTAACTGTGCAGATTCTCGGCGGTTGTCATAGACAGGAAACTGGCGAGATGAGGGCTCCTGTGAGAACTCTTTATCCAGCTCGGGACGCCCGAAGCGAGGTGAGGCCACAGGGCTTACGTGGTCATAACTTCCAGCCGCCTGCGCTGATTCTCCGTCTGTGTATTCGAAGTCGAAGCCCTGATACTGGTCACTTCGGTAACTGTGGCGTCGGCTGTGGCGTCCAGGCATGCCATTTGGGCGACGGCGGTGGTGGCGCCGTTCATGTTGCTTCTGCTGCTGCTGCCGTTCATACTCATCTCCATATGCTACCTCAGAAGAATTTTCTACAAGTGAATTTAAAGCAGCGGATGCAGGGGCAGCAGCGGCAGAAGGTGGATCATCCTCTTCATCTGCACTATCTATTGTAAGGGTCTTCTCCAGCTGCTGTAGACACGTCCACTCGGGTTTCTGTGGCTTTCTACTGCTGAGGTATCTCATGTTGCGGTGCCACATGTGCTGCTCATGCATACTTGGTGAGGGCTCATCCAGCGCCTCCTCCTGCTGCTCCAAGTGCTGTCGCTGTGTGTGGCGATGGCGCTCCTGCAGCTGCCGCTCCCAGCGGGTGTGAGGGGACTGTTGCGAGTAAATCATGGAGCCCGGCCTCTGTTGCTCCCCAGCCTCAGGATTGGTAGGCCCCGGGGCATGTAGAGCACTCTGTAGGCTGCCCTTGAGACCAGACAAAAAATCAATCATAGAATCGCGATTCACCCTCTCGTCTTCATTGTGGCGAGCGTGACGTTTGTCACTTCGCCTACGGCCCCCCCGTCTTCTCTCTAGGGGCTGAGCGCCCCAAGGCAGATCCATTACAAATCAAAACTATGCCGTTTGTATACCTGGTGCTCCCAGGCCACGACAACAGCAGCGCGACTGCAAAGTGCAGTCAAACGGTCAGAGCTATTGTTTCTCTACTAGGGGAATTTGATGCTGCGAAAGAATTACAAGGCTGACCAATTTTCGAGAAGCTCGTGAATAGGCGATAACAGGCGATTTCCCGCGGTTGTGTGAAGGAGCCTCCAAAGGTCTTGACGGCCAGATGACTAGATGGCGGCACTCTCCGGACAGCTGCGGATTAATAATCAATGAATAGAAAATGGCTCTACTCCTGCTTTAATGCCAAGCAAATACTACGGATGCCGGTGTGCGTATTGCCAAAGCCCTTCTAGCGGATCGCCGGAAGAGGGTGATGCTTCACACATGTCTCACATGGTAAGCTGCGCCAACCAAACTTAGATCCGGTCTTCTTAAAACGAAAAAATGAGCAAGTAAAAATGATTCAATGAAGTGTAGAAAGAGGAGGCAGAGCATGCCGGGCAAATCAAGCCGCTGAACAATGAGCCCACTGAAGGCAGCCGTCACTGCAAGTTTAAGTGGCTGCTTGCGAACTTGCAAGCAAGCAATCACGGGTTATGCCGCAGACCTTTGTACAGCTTGTAACTTTGCTTCATTAAAAAACAGATAATAACAAGTCAGAGGAAGCCGTTGCCGAGTTGTCCATCTCATTCCGATGCATCTCATGCGCTCGCGTCCAGACAGTGAAATTTACCTTGCTGTCCCGCTTCGCATTAGCCCCATGTCTCACGTGCGCTCAGTCCAATTATTCTTTTACTAGTAATTGGCTTCTACAAAATTTTGTTAAATTGAGAAGACCAATTAGTAAGAAAAGTAAACCATGGGTTTTTCAGTTCCCGCTGCCCCCCCATGGTCGGCGGAACCCCCTGAAACGCTCTCCGGCGACGTGCTACTTGTCAACAAACACTTTGCGGCGATGATTGCTTCCAGTGTATACTTGGAAAACACTTAAAATGCAAAATATACTTTTAATATTCACGTTGTTTTAGAATTCGAAAATATGCATCAATCTTGAATGGTTTCAGGCTGCTGCAGACGGTGCAGCCTCATTTGCCGTCATGCACTGGCAGGCTGCACCTGCGCTCCGGAGAAGAAATTGGGCTGAGATCCCATATCTTTCAATGTTTCCCAAGAACAAAAAATTCCTTTGAAGCCAAATATCTGTGAAGGGCAAAGTGACTTCTCAGGGAGCCTGCAAGTTGCCGTTTCTGAGCGGGAGCACAGGTGTGCTGTGCGGACCACCGGTCGGGAATCCACAGACTCAATGCGTGCACAATATAGAATCGAGAAGTCATTTCAAAAGATAAATTCGGCCTTATTGTTTTTTAGTTTATATGTCAATTTTATTTCGAAAAAAGCACGAAGAACGGTCGCTGGGATACTGCTCAGCTGAAACACGATCAGCTGAGGTCCCGCATTTTCAAAAGATTGCATTATGCTTTTGCCTCTATGAAATCTCAGAGTACCTCTATATATCTGAATGCATGATGTAATATTACATTTCATTATGTTGGAGCAGTACTTGAGCGTGGTTCGTGCTCTAAATTTGTAGATACAATTCCTTCAGTGGTTTCCAGGTGTTGAGCTCTACATGTTGCCACACAAGCACTAAACTATCACCTTCGCAGTATAACAATCTGTTCACGTTCTGAACGTCGGCCTTTCCCTTCCGGGACAGGTTGAATTTGGGAGAGCCTCCCCGCAAACAAAGTGTATTTGGTCCCAACAATTAGAGTCGTTCCAGGCCTTCGCACTGGCAGAAAAATGTGTACTTTGTAAATGATGCCAACTTTGATGCATTAAAATTCTGTGTTACTTAAGAGTAGAATGAGGTTTTGGGCATTGCTTCGTGACGGTAGTTCAAAACAAGGTTGCTCGAGCCGTCATGCAGTGTAACCTGCTTGTATTTTACTACATGCCTTTTCTTAAATTGCATCTCTAAGTACAGAATGAGACAGAAAAGACATACTATCTGCCTGCGTCTTCGCGGTTTCCCGTTCTTAAACTTTGTGCAATCCCCAGTCACCACACACTCCAGCCACCTCACTCTTGTCTGATGTTTCCCGTTTCTTGTGACACGAAACGATCTAGGAGTGCACTTACTCAAATTTTTGGAATCACTTTCATCAGGTCCTTAACTTCCCTTATCTTCGGCAAGTACAACGTTGGTCAAGCCCACTACTTTGAATTCGAAACACGGGCTCATGTAACATGAACTTTGGCTTTTCGACCGTAGCGCGTTTGTGTTGCAAATAATGGTGCGCTGCAGCTACACGTACCGCGTGCATTCGGCCACATTCAACCTTTCCAACAGAGGTAGAATTTCTCGATGGTGTGTCTCCAAATACATCACTTGCACGGGCGATGTGGCGCTCCATCTTAAGTCCCCATTAGCTACAAAAACTGCACACACCGAAGCGCAGTGGAGCAATCTATTTTAAATGAACCGTCCGTGCTCTGGCTAGAACCAAGATAAAGCTATCAGAAAAGGTAAGCGTAAGAAATTAATCTCTGGATGAAATTAACCATGTGTATCGACCCTGCGCAAACGTGCGCTGTCGCAAGACGCTCTTTTGGTGTCTGGATGTTCGTGTTTCATCAGGCGGCTGCTTGCTGAAGCTCTTTCGTTCTAACGAAAATGATTGTGTTGACGCAGTGAGTCCCTGCAGGGGTGTCATAGCGAAGAATCTACTGCGGCGTTCTGCCAGAGCATAACTTGACGGTGTTGCGCCCAGGACGTGTTCGTAGCGGCGCGCAAAGTGTTCTCACTAGGAAAAATCCAAGTCACGGAAGATTTGAGCCTGTGCAGCAGCAGCTGGTGCAATGCCGACTGCAACGCTACAGTGGACCGCAGAGTGTGGACAAACACCATAATCGCTTGCTGCCTAGAATGCACTGCTTCATCGTACGGTTTCTCTTGCCTGCATTATTACGTCTATCAAAAAGATACACATTCCCGATTTCTACAAAGGCTAATCGGGACCCAGAGAGCTGCACTAATTCAGAATCATGAGCGTGACTGCAAAGGACTCTCAAATCGAACACATGCACTGCGGAATTTAATTTAGGCTCAATTTTCCTTTCATTTTATTTGGAGAATGAAATACGTTCAATTTTTAGCGGTTACTTAAGTCGCGCCGCTGCTAGTTTAAACACTGCAATGCCTACTTTCAATAAGAAAGCTTGAATAAAGGTTCTTTCCAGCGTTACCCATAGCTGATACAAAGGCCATTAACAGCTCGTCCATTTACAATCGCGCCCTTATTTTTGTTTACGGTCTTCCCCGTAGCTGCTGACCGCCGACCAAAAAAGGATTGACACCTCCGCCTAGCTACGTCAGTTTATTTGTGCTGGGCCTTCAGCCTGATAACTACTTATATTGCAGAAGCAAGAAACAATGACCTCACTAGTACTAGATCGCTTTCTAATCCATACATTAAATTTTGAGCAATGAGTTTTCACTGCTTTTTGAGGTTGAATGAGTATTGTGATTGCTTGGGCGTAGCGCATAGAAGCAACCTCCCGTTTAACTGCTGGATTAGCCCGTAAATTCTGCCGCTGTGAGCTTCAGACCCTTCTCCCAAGAGACCGAGGGCACCCTTAACTTGAGTTTGGGTACATTTCTGGCTTGTAGCAACATTGAGAAAGTAACCCGAAAACATCCACAATTGACAGAATTTATAATGACTATTCTAAATGCCAATAACAAAGTATTTTTCCGGTTTAATAGACAGTCCTTTTGTGTTATTGAACGCGTGCAGACGGAACTTGAGCGGAGATGCCTAAACCTAGTTCACGGCGAGTCTCACACTAATGTGTTATTCGCCAAGCTCATCCAGTTTTTGTCACATTTGAAAGATAATTGAAGCCATCCTCACACTTGAAGTCTCAGTGTCATGCTTGCTGAAGCACAGACAATACCGCTTGCGCATTGAGCTCTAAGTGAATAAAATATGGGGACGCGGCTAGGTGGAAGTCGGAGCTGAACGTATCAGAATCAGAAAGGAAATCAAAGTGACAAAGCTGACCTTTGGCCTGGCTTCAATAGACACCAACGGAGCAAGGAAAGATTTAGTGAAGTAGCAACCTAACCTACTCACACCAAGGACAAGACGGCGAAAATAACAAGTGACCAACAACAGCGGTGCATGGCTTGAAACAATAGCTAAGTAACATGCTGATTGACTTCAGGGAGAAAAGTGCCCATTGGAAATACATCTACAATTTTGTACCCTGGCGCCGAGGCTCCTATTTGTGCAGCTAAGCCCGCATCGGGAGTTGAGGAGCCAGTGCGCGCCAGCACTTCAGCAAGCATGCAGAAAACAATTTCTGTGCCAAATTAATGACAGGCATTTTGTAAAGTTGAACTAATTCGATGAAAGCTAACCAATCTAGCTGCCCGCAGGTCCCGCCATCCAACAATAGGGATCCATGCTACGACTGTGTGAGGTTTGCTGCAAGAACTCTCACTACCCAGTAAGCCGATGACGGAAAATTCTGTACCATTCAAACAAATTACATGAAATACATGGGTAGCGACGACGCGCTAGGCCTCGCGTGGTGCTGCATTTGGCCCAAGCCGGGAGCGCAGGGAGCGCTGCGGGGGGCAGTTGCTCGGCAGTCAACTGGAAATTCAAATGCACATTTTAAAGTTAATTTACATCACAATTTCAATTTTAAGTCATGGAAAGAAGAATGGCGACAAACCCAAGGCACAGTTCACCAGAGTAAGCTTCCTAATTCGGTCAGGCTTCTGGACTGTGCAGCGAAATTCGCTAGTCGGCGGTGGTCAGCCCGTCGGTCTCGGCAGCAGTCAATTCCTCCGTCAATTCTTTCCAAACTTTCGTTTTTATTTCGATTTCCGTCTTTTTGCTTTCTGGAAAATAAGAATAAATATAGCATCTTGAACTGTATGCTTTCATCGCGCGTGACTGAAAGCCGATTCGCGCTCGCGG